TATTATTAATATATTATTTTTGTATGTTTATTTCAATGTTAATGCTTTCTCCACAAGGAAGCAATTTTTTTTGCTGATCGTAAAGGTGCTTATATACCTCAAATTTCGATCAGATGAACATTATTTCTGGACCGTGAAAATGCGTGAAAAGTCATTTTCACGGCGGGTATTTTTGAATTGTTTTAAACAAAAAATGTTTTTTTTTAAGAAATATAATATTAAATAATTGTTTTAATATGTAAGAACACTTTAAAATAGTGATAGAGAGATGATTTGATTAAAAAATTTAGCAAATTTTGCTTTAAAACGTTTTCTGCTACAAGAAAGTGTAAAATGACGATGTTTGTGAAATGGTTTGTACAGTGCTTCTTCCTTGTGAGTGTCTCTCAGAGTTTTGTTTATGTTATGTCGTTTCTTTTTAACTTGTAATAAATAATGAGTGCTGAAAATAAATCGGTAAGTTGAAATGTTTATCAAATAAATTTAAATTCTACTAATTGTTTCGAATAACTGAAAGAAACATGTACACATGTACACTGTACAAACCATTTCACAAACATCGTCATTTTACACTTTCTTGTAGCAGAAACGTTTTAAAGCAAAATTTGCTATATTTTTTAATCAAATCATTTTTCTATCACTATTTTAAAGTGTTCTTACATATTAAAACAATTATTTAATATTATATTTCTTAAAAAAACATTTTTTGTTTAAAACAATTCAAAAATACCCGCCGTGAAAATGACTTTTCACGCATTTTCACGGTCCAGAAATAATGTTCATCTGATCGAAATTTGAGGTATATAAGCACCTTAAAGAGGAAGCAAAATGTTCATGTAATGAACATCTGAATTTACAACTTGTTTGGTTAATGGTGTTCCGCAATGGCAAGCAGTGGTTGTCTTTCAAAAATTGGCTTCTCGTAGGTGCATTTAATTTAAGAAGGATTTTTCTTTCAACTCGGATAGAAACGGAAAAATCGAAAAAAATACCAGTTATCCTGAAATGTTGTCAAGAAGTAAAATAAGAATTTTTTTATAGCCGTTAGGTGCTGCTCCAGACAGTAAATTTCAGTACTAAGTAAATGTTTATACTCTTCCTATTTTACTTCCTGTCGTTTTATTTGTGAATAAATCTTTAATTTCTGGGAGGCAAATGTAAATACACAAACTCAGGATAATTGGTATTTTTTCCGATTTTGCCATTTCTGTCCGAATTGTGAGAATAATATTTTTGAAATTAAATGTACCTCATTTTTAAAAGACAACCACTGCTTGTCATTACGGAACACCGTCACAGCGGAGGCACTAGTGCCGTCATTGTATAAAAGGGGGACTATATAACCTTAAGGCCTAAGCAGAATAGCTTCGCGAAAGACGTTCGCGAACGTGAAACATGAGTTAGAAAAGGACAGAGATATATTCGTATCCTTTTCTATCTCATGCATCTCGTTCGTGAACGACTTTCGCGTGTGCGTTGGCCTTTAGTTTCAGGTAAGGGTACGGTCACACTATCTCATCCCTACCGAAAGAGTGGTACTGGAATGGTACTGAATTGGACTTGGCTTGAGTTCCACTTCAGTACCACTACCTGATAACCCATAAGAAGACATTTTTAAAGTACTTTAACAATAGTTTTAAAGGTACATAAGATCAACAAACCGTCTTTCACGATATACGTGTAAAACAGCAAAAAAAAACATAATAGTTTGTAGAAAATTTCTGTTAAGTTTGGAAATTATATTGCAATCCCTCCTTGAACAATAGACCCCTAGGTCCTTTGTTGAAGGATTAAAATTTTAACCCGAGTTTTATTGCTTAAAAAATTTATAATTTTAATAACTCAACTTTAAAAAATATATATTGAGATTCGTTAATATTTCCACATTATGAATATCTAAAATTTATCAAAAAATAATTACATTTAAAAAAGTTATAATTTATCTCGTATACCTTAAGTTTGACAAAAAAATGGACATCATTTTTGAATTTAGCTGCCAAAGGACATATCATATGCATAATAATGTATGAAAATAATATAAATCCAGGAAAAACAAATATAATATTGAAATAAATATAAAGTATTAGTTTAAACATATTGAAAAAGCTAGTCGCTTTTCACTTTTATGAGGGTTTTAACGGTAACTCGACCCTTTTCGCAGGTAAATTTCCCAGTTCCATTTCAGTACCAAAATGCACCAAATTAGTACTGAGTTGGTACTGAGCCCTCAGTTCCAATTTCCCAGTACCAATCCAGTACCACTCTTTCGGTAGGGATGTATGCACTGTGCATGCATGCAGAAACATTTGGCCGGTCACACTTCAACGAAATCTAGTGAATGTTTAGTAACTTTCTAGTTACAACCGAAATTTTTAGAAAATTAATAGAAAGTTACTAAACATTCACTAGATTTCGTTGAATGTAATCGCGTAGAAATCTTAGGCTGCAGTCCCATGGCAGCGTTTTGCGTTGCGTTTTGTCACTAGACCCTGAGTGTAAACATAGCAAACATATATCTGCATCTCTTTTACACTCATGGTCTAGTGACAAAACGCAACGCAAAACGCTGCCATGGGACTGCAGCCTTAAACATCAGTATGGAATTCTTGCAACGCTTACCTCTATCAATTTCTGATTCCCTTGGTGAATTTCCCCTCGTAAAAAATTATTGTTTTAATAATAATAATAATAATAATAATAAAGTACCAGGTATTTCTTGTCTGTTCAAGCTACTGTGCAATTATTAAGTGCTTTAAAATTTTCACTATAGTCTTTCTAGATGTACCTATTTTCGGTTGATGATTAAGGGAATTTTGAGGTCAACATTGGCGATTTGGTAGCTAAAAGTCGTCAAAATTTGCACAGAAATGGATTCAATCATCTTCAAAATATAAAATTTTTCATAAAAATGAAAGTCAAATTAAATACTTTTTTATGTGAGGATATAATGTTGAAATTGTCAGCAATATCTGCAAATTGAAAACAACAATGTATATAATTTTATTTAATTTAAATAAAGTATTGATTTAAATAATTTATTATTATTACTTACAATCTTTTTTTTCCATAAACTTCTTTAAAAATCTACAAATAAAAAATATTATCACTTCCCTTACAAATAATAGGAAATTCCTAATTAGGCCTATCATTGATTTTCTATCATATTATTTTTACCATTTTTTCGCGACGATAGAAAAAATTATAGTAAAATGATTGGGAAAATGATAGTAATAATGATAGAAAAAAATTATAGGAAATAATGTTACTAAAATGTAGTACTACATAATACAATGTAGGGTAAATGCACTAATTGCGGCGAGATTCGAGTCAAAACACCTTTGAAATAGAAAATTCGACATTTCTATTGTATAAACTCAATTTAAGACTTATTAAACTTAAAGCTTATGTTATTAAGATATTAAAAAAAAATTTTAACTCTATAAAAATCGATTATTTAAACAAATATGAGAAATTAAAACTAATACCGTAATTTTCTATTGCGGCGAGTTTGTATCAGTTTCGGTGACCAAAATTACGTGTATTTTGAAGATACTTTGCCCGCCGAAATTGAAGCCAATGGAAATCTTAAAAATGTTTCAATTGCGGCGCGGAAAAAAATTTGATCTCAGATAATTAAATTAATAATTGTTTAAATGTGCATCTTTATAAGTATTTGTATCAAAAAAAGATTGAAATAATTTTTTTTAATCATTTGGCAACAGTTATATTAAATATAATAGTAATAATAGTTATTTTTTATGAACGCGCCGTTATTGGTGCACTCGCCGTAATTAGTACACTTACCCTACTGTAATTAGATAATATGTTAAACTTTTTTATAAATTTATATTTTATATTTAAAAATTATAAATTTTTGTAAGGGTTTGTTCTTTTAAAACCCAAATTTTGAAAAGAAAACTTGCTTTGAATGGTTTATTCTTATTAAGAAATTAACTAAGTTCATTTAAATTAAAAACTTATTTAAAAAGCTTAGTTTAGAAATATATGTACACGATATCTTTATAAATTGTAAGTTTAATATAATGCAGTCTAATAAAAAAAAACTGTTTTTAATTAAAAGTTATTTATAGAAGCCGTTTAGAAGTGTGCAAAAAGCTCCAATGAATTCGAGCACATTGAACGTTCAATTTTTATTGTTTTGTAAAAATTACTAAATTAATCAACAGATAAATGAATGAGTACATTTTTGAAATTACAAACAATCGAATATTCAAATTCAATTTACACAAGTACTCGACTATTTTCGAGTACTCGATTATTTCAAGTACTCGTATTCACTCAAGTACTCGAAATTTTCGAGTACTCGAATTCACTCGAGTGATCGAAGTTACTCGAGTACTCGAAATATTCGGGTTCTCAAAAACGTTCGAGTACTCGAAAATTTTCGAGTTTTTTATACAGCTCGGCTCGACGAGAACTCGAGCTCGAATTAATAATGCTCGACTCGGCACGAATCGAAAAATCTCGATCGAGTTTCGAGCTTCGAGCTATTTGCACACCACTACCGCCGTTATTATGCCTCCAAAAACCAAAATTTTAAAAATATACTTAATTTCATGATTATACCTTTTTTGTAGAAACTTAAATATTACCCATGAGACATTTGCAATGTTTTTCAAAATCTCTTATCACATTAATAATAGGCATTATGTAAAAATAAAACGTGAATTATTAGAAAGTTTCAAAATTCAACTAATTAATCATGCTTTACTTGATCTTATTTTGTATCATTTTTTGATTTTACGAGCGATTTCCAAAAAGTGTCTCATGGGTCACCGGTCTTCCTTACTTTATTTAATTATACACATCTTTCAATTATTTTAGGATTGAAAAGCAATGTGAAAATAATTTTTCCTTTTTTTCAAAATTTCCAATCATATTAAAGTGTAATAAGAACAGGAGATTATGGTTATAGATGATTTCTATTACAATAATTGGAATATTTTATTACTGGAGGGTTAAAAGAAAATATTCATTAATTGTATCCGATAAAGATTTAATTTCCTTAATACAAGATAATCACAACATAGCAGTCCATACCTGTCTTTAAAATGTACTTATATATAATATAAAACGGATAGATTTTTTTTTTTTTTTCATTAAATTTCAAGGAATGATAGTTTCTTGACATCCATTGAAAATTATCATTTTCTGAACGAAAAATTTTTCAATATACACATTACAACGAGAATTCTCAGAAATAATAGTTTGATTGTAATTTGTAGACGTTTAATGGCACATGAGAATTAATTTTTGTTATCCCTCCGATACATTTTACTTTAAGTAATTATAATCTCTATGAGACTTAATTCATTCACATTCACCTTTGAATACAAATTGTAAAAGTATAAAATATATTAAATTGTCATTTTTCGTTCATTGCACTATAATATTAAAATCAGCTTCTTTTTTATGTACAAAAAATATTCTGAATGGCTAAGCCATCACCAATACTGAAATGTAAATAATAATAATAATAATAATAATAATAATAATTTAATAACACAGTTTACTAAGAAAAAATGTCGAATTCAATTTGATGTAATTAAAGAATTTCGATATGAGCCTAAAAATGTGCAATTTTTTTGCTATAAAATAAAAAGTCTCACTTCTTTAAAATTTGAATTAAAAAAAATTTAACTACTTCTACGCATGTTGTTTCCTTTGGGTTTATTTGGCATGCGAAGAACTTCTGCATAAGACATGTCAAGTTTTTTAAGTTTGGCAATTTCCTGCGAGGCCACACTTGGTTTATAATCTTTGTATTCGAAGCTCGTATTATTTTGATTGTTTGGACTCTTCGAATGGGAATTGCTTGATCTTGAATCCTTCTTTTTGCTTGAATAAAAGTGAGTAGTGTAACCATTCCAAACTCCGCTTTCCAGGTCCGTATTTGTCAGAGGTCTAAATCTTCTTTTGCCACCACTGTTTGACTTGGCGTGCGTGAATTTAGGATTAATAGTTGGAATAACATCAGGTGTGGAATGTGGTTCAACATTGTATTTTTTAGGAGAATTCTTTTTAGCCGACTTCTTCCTCGTCTGAATCGACAAATAGTCTAATGGTTGACGTCTATGGTGCTGTGGTCTTATCGGAGTTTCAGTGTTTTTCTCTAAATCTGGTTTGTGTCTCTCTTTGTTACTGAAATTTGGTTTAAAGATTGGCTCGGAGACTACTGAACATATTGTCGAGGACATGACACTTTGAGTATCGTCCGTCTCCTCACCACCTGTTCCATCAGTTGCAAATGAATAATTTGATGAAATATTCGAAATATCAGAAACATTGTTTTGTGGTAATTTATCATTTTCTTCTTTGGCTTCGGCAGCTCGTTTTAGAGCACTGACGATTTCACTGAAAATTTGTCGATACTCCGGTGTGTGATTAAAGCGACTTTCGAATGTGCTATTATCATCATAAATACTTAATTTACAATTGTCACCATCTGCAATTGAACAAAGAAGAGAACCAGGTCGGCCATCGGTTTGAGTTGATTTATTGATTGTCTCGTCCGAAAATCCAGAGGACAAAGTTTCAGCTTCGGAAAAATCTGTAGGAGTTCCGGAAAATTTTTTTCCTCCTTTTTGCATAATTTTAACTGTTTTCTCTTTTGCAGTTTTGTCTCCCACGTGATTGTCTGATTTTTTGGATGTTGCATTTTGAAAGTTGTTAAATTCTCCAGACATTCTAAGCTCTTCTTGAAGGGACATGCAAGTATTTAGGGCGGTTGTCTTGGAATGTGAGTTATAATCTTTATCTTCTTTAAAGATCAACTCGTAATTATCCTGAATTTGATCCATTAATCCCATCTTACTGTTTATATCCTGCACATAACACAAAATGTTTTTTTGTATTTATTAGGATATGTAAATCAATGAAAGTTGGGACTTTGCTCATAGTAAACATATCTGTTATAAAAAAAAATGGTTCACAAGGCACAAATTTCATTAAAATATCTTTCAAAAAAATATCAAAACGTTAAAGGAATTAAGAAAAACATTAACGAATATATTCTTATTTAAAGTAAATAAAACAACAAGAAGGAAACCTATGTGGTTGATTTTCACGAAAATGTTGAATTTTATACCATTACTGAAAATACATTTAAAGGCCACCTAGATTATTAAACAATTTTAGTGTAAGAAAACATACTTTATATACATAATTATTTACTTTTTTAAGGAAATGTTGTGCCTTAAATTTATAAATTATAAAACAGGTTCCGTTTCCATACCGATTCCTTTAAGGATTCCTTAAAGATATCCTATTTAGGTTCTTATTAAAAATCCTTTAAAAAATTTAGGTGCCTCCTATGTGAAATGAAACAGTTTAATGGGGTTGTGCCCGCGTTTGTGGAGAGTAAAATGTTTTTTGATTAAAGTATAAACCAAGGAAAGAAGAGTGATAGTGTAAGTGTTAAAAATAATTAAAAGGTAATTGAAAATCTTGAGGTTTGGTTAAGAAAGAATAGAATGAGAAAGTCAGATGCAGATGAAATATAATTAACATGATTGAAAAAGTATAGACGATTGAATGAGGTTGGAGGAACGAGGGGAAAAAAATATTGAAAAAGATAGGATAGGATTGAAATACTAAATGTGAATTTCATTTAAAATAAATGTATGTAAGAGTGGTTTTATTTTATATACATTGTTCCAGTACATATGGTGTGCAGGCTCAGTAACAACGAATATTTAAAAATTTCTTCTAATATTAATCATTATAAAAATAGATAACAGAAATTTTTTTAAGAATAATATACTATATAAGTAATTTTTATTTTTTTAAAAAGATTATCTTGAAATTAGACAGTTTCGTAAAAATCCACCATATATAAAATATAAATATATATTATTTATAAAAAATAAAATTAATCTTTGAAAAAAATTGAAAGTTATATTAATTTGTCAGATACGTAATTGGATATTAAGTTAATGTGATTAAGTCATGCTGCGTACTTACATTGAGTAACAAAAATGCTATGAGTAATATTGACTAGACGTTCTATCCAGACAGAATCTTATATTTTGTAAATATTGCTCCTTAATATTGGAAATATAGCGACAATATTGTCACTATTATTGAAATATTAATGTCACTTTTCAGCAATATTGCCGCAATAATTGTATGCAATGTTATTTTAATATTGTATAGCATTATTTCTGTAAAGTTATAATTGGCAATATTGTACATTTGCATAAAACTTTGTTTTAAATTTACAGCAATTTTTCTTTAACAATGAGAATTATATCAAAAATTTAAATTATTTAAATTTTATATTATAAAATGATGTTAAATTGAAGAAGTTATGATAATTTTTTATTTTTAATAAAATATTTAAAAAATGTTTTAAATTACATTGTAATTATTTGGAATTTCACGAATAAATTTCATTAAACCATTAGTATTTTTTAATTTTTAAAAATTTATTATTTGTTTATATTAATTAATTTATTTATGTATTAAAAAAGGTGTATTCTGTAAATTTTACTTAAATTGTTTTAAAAATAATTATTTAAATTAATTTTAATTATTGATATTATTATCATTGTTAAAGAAACATTGCTGTAAAATTAAAACAAAATATTTTATGCAAATTTTATACAATATTTCCATGCAATTTTTCAGCAATATTGTCATGCTATATTACAATAACATTATAAAGAAATATTGCGGCAATATTGTTGAGAGATGACATATTAATATTTCAATAATATTGCCACTATTTCGGGGAAAAATTTACGAAATGTAACGTGCTATCTGGGCTAATACTACTATTTTTTAACTAAAAAACGAAAATTAATTCAATTATAATAGTCTTCGTATTCTAATTTCTAAAAAAAATCGCAGTTACTAAAAAAATTTCCTGGTTTCAAATTTTTCTCGATATATTAAAAAAGAACTATATTAAATCAAAATTTCGTAACGATTGAATAATTATCTATTTAACAAAAATTTATTCTTAATAACTTTTACTATAACAATTCACAATATTCAGTAATAAATAGAGAAAAAAAAATTTAGCTGACATGCACTTAAAAAATACGCGTTATTTACAAGAGCATAAAAAACATTTACGAAGATTTATCTTACAACATTTATAAAATTACTATAAAAAGTTGCAAAACATTATCATGCATGTAAAAAAATATTAAATAATATGTTAGTACACCGATACTTTTTGTGTCAAAGTTTTGTTAAATACTGTTTCACTTTAAGGAAAATAAAGAACATTATTTGAATGAAAATTACTCAAATACTGAAAATCCTATCAATTTCTGTGAAATATACCAAAAATTAAGGGTAACACCACTCTAGCGACATAAAAGAAGGTCTAACTTTGACGATTACTTTTGACACTCACAGAAAAAAATGAAAAAAATAACAGGATTTCTTTTTTTTTTAATAATAATTTTGGTATAAAATGGCAACGTCAGAGATCATATTGGTAATCGTATTTTTTAAAACACCTACAAAAGTGGATAATTTTCTAGAAAACTATAAGACTTGAACCAAAAAGCAAGAAATTTAATAATCTTTATACTATTGGCTATAGAGATATATATGTTTAAAATGACGATACTTGAGATATTCTCTCGAAACATCTTTAATGTGAGGCGCTTGGGAAAGAGCAAAGAATATTCCGAATAAAACATATTTTACACCAAACTTTTATTCCCTTATTCTAGAAAATTCAAAGCATCTGTTAAACCGATAAAAGAAAAATTAATTTTTTTTTAAATTCTAGAGTGATATTACCCTTTACTCAATCTTTATCAAATGTTTGAATAGAATTTCTATCAAAATTAATATTAAATGAAATTTTAATACTTTATTATCTAAAGATTTTTATTAAAATACTATCAATTCCTATTCGTAAAAAAATCAAATACTTCGTAAACAATTGACATTAAAAATTAAAATTTTCTGTGCGAATCTGTAAAGCCATTACAGAAAAAAATAACACGCAAGAACTTGAATTATTTTTATGAATATATGGTATGGTATATGATACCATACATAAGAATTTCTGAAACAAAATTCAGGATTCCTTAACCTTCCAACTGTGACACATTTGAGTTTAATATAATCGTTTAAACATTTCTTAAAACGCAAAGTTTCTTACTGTAAAAGTACAAAAAAAACAGTATATGCCTAACTAACATTGCATTAATAAAAAAAATATCGTAACGAAGAAAAATGGTAAAATGTCATTGTCTTGCGACACAAAAGCCCGTTTAAATTCTTCAAATTGTCGTCATTTTAAGTCTTTTTATGATAAAATTAAACACCGTCAGTTTATAAAAAAAAAAATGAATAACATTTAAGTTAAAAAGTTGATCTTGAAAATTACACACAAACTACATACCCTAAGAAATCTTTTTAAATATATTCGCCAGTAAAATCTTGTTTAAAATAAATAACGGAAGACGAAATGGATTATATGTTGAGAGATATTTTTTTAACACGCAATGGATCTTTAAATATTCCACTGACTCCATAAAAAGACAAAGCAGAGACGGCGCATTCCATAATATAGTCAATATTTTCCAGATGATTAAAACAACAAAATGTTTACTTTCTTTTTTTGTGGTTCTTTCTCTAATGCATGTAGCAACTGCTTCCTAAGGCAAATGAAATGAAATTACTTTTAAAGCTAAGTCCTAAACTCTTCAAGCCCATTTCACAAAAAAAATGTTTACTTCTGTACATATTCGGAAAAATAGTAATGTTATTGTTTTCTTTGTCTTCAGTGCGAGATTGAACGGTTTGAAGAGTTTTGAAATGTCTAGTGAAAAGCAGAAAATGCGAAGCACAGTGATTATGTTGTGGGTGTTGATGAGCCCCATGCGAAAGCCGATTGATGGAAAAAAGCTCGAGTGTGTTACTCAAAGATGAATTTACCTGCAGCAAACAATTAGAGTGTCCATTGACGCCATTTATGAAAGTTCCAGGTAAACTTATTTCGTCATCTTCCGGTATATCAGGTCCATTTCGATCCATCATCAGGGTTAATTCTTCATGACTTCTCATGTTAATTCCCCGCAAACATCGACCGCAAAGATGACCTTGTCTGGACAGTAAAAATAAATGTATTAAAACACTTTTAATTTAATCTTTATACACCCTGGTGAATTTTAAAACGTAGAAATGAAGAGCTTTTTTCTATCCTTTGCATCTTTTAAACAGTACCTATTGCTATCCACGAATATGCATTGAGAATTTATAAGTCACAAAATTTTTAATCAGTTCGCAACAGTCTGAATTAAGTTAGAGGTTAAATATCTAAATTTAAATGTCAAATAATGTTCTGAAACATTTTAAGAACATGGATGTTCAAATAATGTTCTAGAACATTTTTTGGCTGACGTGAAACGTTCTAAAAACGTTTTAAGAATGTTTTTGGAACGAACATATGGTTTTTTGCCCACTATGGGTACACGTTTCTTAAAAACTATTCAATTTATCGCTTCGTGTCTTGTTGCATTCAATTGCAATTGCAATTGCTTAAATTATTGACATACTTATAACAAAAAATATGTTCAATTAAATATCAAAGCATGAGATAGGTAATTAACAAACAGCTTGTTTACAAAATAAAATGTGATATGATCATTTCTTAATTACCAAAATGCGTAGTGGGCAAATATTAAAGAAGCCAGAACGCATTGTGGCATTCCTTAATTACCGCAATGCGTTGTGGTCGAATATGAAAACAGCCACAAAGCAAATTTCGCATTGTGGATTTTTTTAAATTTCCACAACGCATTTAGAGCACTTTTTCTCATATGTCTTAACACAAATTTTGTGTTGTAAACGAATCGAAGGAGCCACAACGCGTTATGGTCGATGTTTTTGCTCAATGAGCGTTTTCGGTCTTTGAGCCTAATATATTCACCAGTACATTTAGCCTGCAGGAAAGAAACTTATCCAGCATCTCAAATAAGGCATTTATTTCTCATTTGAAGACACCCACAAAACATCTTAAAAGTGCCTATAAAAGTGTATCAAAATAATACACTCGTTTTTGCAGTGTATTTGCCATATGATAAAATATTAAAATAAATGTATAATACAGTATCAAATATGCACATACCTGACTTCTTCTAGAGTACTCAATTCATCTTGAAGATTTTTCACGTCCTGCGCTTTATTTCGCCAAACATTAAGCTGCTCTTCTAAGGCATTATTTTCATGCACAATGCTCGAAAGTTGAATTTCAAGATCAGATATCTTTTTTTGTTCCCTCGCTCTTTGACTGCGAACTTCATTTAATTGTTTTAATAAACTTGTTACCTCCTCATCATTGCTTATACTGTTTACATATTCCTGTGTATTACCGTTTACATTAGAAGTGGATTTTGTTGTGGTTGAAGTAGCCTTCTAAAAGAATGTGAGAAAACTAATTAATAATGCCAAAAAGGAGTCACTATTTTAGTAAATGATTATCTTTTGAAAAAGACTACAATTTCATATTTAAATTGTATGAGTTATAAAAATTAAAAATGGCGGATTCAATATGGCGGTTGAATTTTTTGAAAACCGATCCAATTTTCCTGAAACTTAATTGGGGGATTTTAGATTTGCTGATTAATATATGTAAAAAACATAAATCTCAACAAGCGGACTACATCTTTGATTATCGTAGAAAGATATTTTTTTCAACTTTCATTTATCTACATTCATTTATTAGATCAGCCATTTTGAATTTAAAAAATCTGATATCAGATTCATAATCAGCGATCCCGAAAACCCTTTAATAATCAGGTTGCAAGCAAATTCGACCAAATTTTAAAATAATCGTTTGCCATATTGAAGTTGAAATATATTCACCAATTTTTCCGAATTTAAATTAAAAACAAAAAATTTGAATTGAAACAACAAACCTTGTTTATGCTACCATCTGGCGTATTTTTCCACAAAACTTTATCCTGAACTTCTTCGTTTGTACTTTGTTGTCGAACAAGAATTTGATATTTGGATTTAATATCATCAAACTTTTTGTGAATATCTTCACATTTAATCTCCAAATTTTCAATTGTCATAGATTGTCTGAAATAATAATTAATTCAAAAATAAATAAAATGCTTTAATAAGATAAACGAATTATTTTTCAAATTAGTGCAGACCAACTTCTCTACAAGGAAAGAAAAATTGTTTAAAATATTTTAATTCTGCTTTAAAATATGATAACCTATACCAATTGAAAAATTTTTAGTATTTGTTAGACTTTTAAAATCCATTTTAAGAATTACGAAGACTTTTTCAATAATTATAAAATAAATGTTACTATAGGTACATTAAAAAAGTTTGCAAAAATCTTAAAATAAATTTTAAAAGTCTAACAAATACCAAAAATTAGTCAATTAGTATCATTTTTTAAAACAGTATTAATAGTATTGGAATCCCCGTAACTGCGAAGCGCTTTCAGTTGAAAACTTTTTTAACTATTGAAAGTAGGATTTTTGTCATTTTTTGTCCTGTTTGCACAAATCAGAGTAACTTTCAGACATAGTGGCGAAAAATGGTACTACTGAACGTAGGATAAAATGCTAAGCCACGCCTCCAGCGGACATTCCAATATTACGTACCAAGAACGCAAAATGGGTGATTATTATGTTATAATTAAAATTGACTTTGATTATAAATTAATTGAATTTTCCTTATATTTAATACTAATGTTTTATACAAATTCAAATATATATTATTTTTCCTGTAGCTGAATATTTCTATAATTTAAAAAGGTTTGTTTTAAAAAGCTTCTTACGTTTTTAAGAGCTTCTTATCATTGGCATTATCAACAACGAGAAGATGGTTTGCCCGTTCCAAATCTTGAATGCTGACTTCTAATTGTTCATAAATCCTTAATCGTGAGTCGTTTACTTCTCTGAGAGCAGTAGTTTGTTTCTTCATATACTATAAAACAAAAAAATTTATAATAATTTCAAATATTATCATTTTCTTGTTGTTTAACATTTTTATTTTTTGCAAAAAAAAACAGTTTGATTTTTTTTACATCAATTCATTGTATTTTGACTAAAGTTGTAGCCGACTAATTTTAAAAAAGTACAATATTTTGCAGGAATTATTTTGAATATATCACGACCACGTAATGAAAAGAATTTTATAAAAATTTTTAATATTTTTTGTAAAACATAAATTTAAAGTATATGGAGATGTTGTAAACTGTCACATTATTAATTCAATAGAAAAGATTCAAAGAAACATACAAATTAACTATAAAAATGTAAAAAAATTATTATTGAAATTTATTAACAATGATTAAATTTAATATTATAAATTGATAGAAGGTATATAAAGATGTGAAATAGTATATAAAATAAGACTGTAAAGTTCACCTGTCAAATAACTTATTTTGACGATTTCCATCTATAAATTACGAGAAAGTATGATCACTAAGTTAAATAAAAACTTACAAAACATAAAGTACTTGCGATGAACTTTTAGAATTTCTTTGCACTTTTCTTCTTTCTTCTTGATAAATATAAAAAATTTGAAAAATAAAAATGACACTAACGCTAATTTTTGCAATTTTTAAACATTTTTAGAAGGTTGAAAGTTAAAGTTGATCCAATATTTCCTATTCATAATGTACTAATTTCAACTGTAAAAAAATTACCTACATGTAGGTAAAAAAAACAACAAACAAAACCCTTTTAACAAGTAAAATTTTTAATATTTGTGTTTCCTAACGTAGACTCGAGAAAGTGTCAACTTTATTTCCCAACTTTTTTTTTATATATTTATTAAAAAAAAAGTGCAAAGAAAATTAAAAGTTTATATCAAGTACTGTATGTTTCGTAGGTTATTTGAAAGGTGAACTTTAAAATCTTATTTTATATATCGTCAACCAGGGCTATTCTGCGGTACATCAGGGTGCAAGCTATAGTTTTTATTTTGTAAAATATTCATTTTGAAATATTAAAATTTGGCACCTAGCTGTAATTGTAGTATCACAATTTGGCAACAAAAGCAACTAAAATGTTATTAGTAAAAATTCAGTTTTAGAAATCAGAAAAACAATAAAAAGACGAAAAAATTTTGTTGAAAATTTGGAAGTTTTGTGAAAATCTATACCAATAATAAAATTCACGTAAGTTAGTGTCAAAAATATTTAAGATACAAATTTAAAATTTAGTTATGACAATATATAATCGATTGGCTAACTTGTTATTAAATATTTTAGGAGAAATTTGTCTAAAACTGAAAATCTAGCATTTGCAGGGGTTATTCTGGTACAACTGCTGTACACGGTGGTCAAGAAGCCGGAAAGTTCCGACCAAAAATGACGAGCAAATTGGCAAACGGGAATATTTTAAGTTAGGTTTCGAATATTACAAATCCGTTTGAACTGAAATCCTAGCTAATCGTTTAAGCGACCCAATCAGCATGAAAACTTGCAGCAAACTTGCAAAAAGCTTGCCGTGCAAGATGTGCAAGATTGCAGCGCAAACATGTAGCAAGTTTGGTACAAGCAACAAAATGTCCTCTTGTGACAAGCTTTCAGGGTAACGTTGGCGCAAGCTTGCTGCAAGTTTGCAAAACTTAATACGATGCGCAGTTGTATTATACAAGCTTGCAGCAAGCTTTTTGCAAGTTTGCTGCATGCTTGCTTAACTACCTTGCCACAAGAGCACATTTTGTTGCTTGCACCAAACTTGCTAAATGTTTGCGCTGCAATCTTGCATGCATCTTGCACGACAAAGTTCCTGCAAGTTTTCGTGCTGATTGGGGATATATCGTGAAATCAGTCCCAAATGTTGAAATTTAGAGTTTAATTTTTTAGAAAATGCAACTTAACACAAAACATTGGTATAAATATTAGTATATATACAAGCATTTAAATATATAAATATAAATACTTCTTTAAATGCATTAGTTTCTTAAGATGTAAAGTTTCACAAGGTTTCACACTAAACATTTATTTAATCGGTACATTTAAATCTTTAGACAATTTTCACTAAACATTGCAATTAAATATTCCGAACATTTCAAATAAATCTTAATAGGAAATCTTTAGGAAAGTTTCGGTGCTGTGGGAGATAAAATAAAATTTGATAAATATTTGGTAATTTTTTCATGAAATTATTTTACTAAATTAGAAAAACTTTTTTTTCTGGTAGACATTGATTTTTTTTTATTTCTTAAGTTATTATTCTTTTTATGAGAAAATGACTAAATATTTATTATATACATTACTTAATATTATGCAAAAGATTCTGAATTTCACTCTTTTATTTATAAAATATTCAAGAAAAACACTCATTTTTTCTTCCTTTTAACGTATGCCATCTCCAGAATGGTCGATTTAATCCGAAAAACGGTATCTCCTAATTCGTATTTGTCTTTACAAAATATTTAAGGGGAGATTACGGCGATGGAGCCGGAATCGCCAGTTGAGTAAGAATCACTTTTTTGTTTAATTTCTACTTAAAAAACTTTAAACACGTTTTTCTCGAAACTGCATATTTTCAATTTTGTCACACTTTTATTTTAAAACTATTATTAAAAAAATGGTTACTAATAAATATTTTTTACTATATATATATATATATAAAAAAAATCTTTTAAAAAAACCTCAAAATCACCGTAATCTCCTCTTAATAGAACTTTTATTCAGAATTTTTAGTTATTAGAATCTATAACAGGATTAATAAGTTATGCAGTATGTGCAGTATTAATCCTTAAAATACACACTGGGCATAAATCGCTCATGTGTTTTTTTGTTATAATTGCAAATATCTCGAAAAGTACACATTTTCGTGAAAAATATTCAACATAAAAGTTGTTCCCAACAAAAAAATCTACATTTTTAAACCCAAAACATTGGATCCATGACCCAACAGTGAAAAAAAGAAGTATCTTGAAAATGTTTACTTTTCGAGATATTTGCAAGTTTCCATACTTTTATGAACACCCTGTAGAATTAAAAACCTAATATTTAACAAAAATAATTTGATACGCGTGAGGGTTAAAATGAACGAAATGTGTTAAATAAAGATTCTTTTTTAAAAAAGAAAATCGCAATTAGGAAGTTTTAGGAAAAATATAAATGTTATTATAACTCGATGACAATAAGTGGGATAAGTTATCTATTTCTTGTATAGCATAACAAATTTGTCAGACGCTGTAACTCTGTGATAAATAGAATATCTTTTCGCTTGTACAAAGCATTCAATCGTTGTATATGCCTTAAGAAATTCATTGGATCGCGCTCCAGAGTCCAACAAATTGCATATACCTATACATTATATAACCTTTTTTCTTCGTGCAACTTTAACTTACCTCAATCTCATGGGCTTGCTCCTCAATTTTATCCTGCTGCGATCTAATAGTATTCTCTAATTCTTTGTTTCGTTCAAGTAAAGTTTTGCCCAGTTCTGCAGCTAATTGAAGATCTGAAACCAAATAATAAATGTTACAATGTATTATATATAGAAGTTGATAAAATTTAAAAATACTTAAAACTTCATTTCTTTTATCCGACCTCTTTGATTTTTAAGTAAATAGCATTTTGACTACATAAATATTTGACCAAATGACATTTCCACTACTTAGACTTCGATGCTAATGACTTTGCGATTTCTTGAGATAATTGTACAAAATTATCTGAATTTTTCATTTAGAAAATTTAACTTTTTCCATGTACTCTTTTTTAAACATATTTATACTACCATATGTTGTATTGCAGTTTAACTATTTTTCAATTTTTTTATTTTATACATTATTCCAGCACAGGGCATGTGTGAAAATGAAATTTTTTTTCCAATATTTTTTATAAAAACAGCAACTTTAAACTTAAAAAGAATATATTTATATTTATTTTTACTTCAAAGTAACCAATATTTAAATAAATATTTATAAAAGTAATAAGTAATGTCAAAAAATGAGTTTAATGGGTTGAAATATTTCATTTCGAAAAATATAAATATTTATAAAATAAATTAAATTTCCATAGATTGAGGATAATTAAACTTTATAATTGTTGAATTATATATAACTAGTTTAAACAAGAAAAAATACATGGGCACTCCCAATATTAATACCTCACACCACTTGACGTGTAACACATTTTGCAGTCATACTGAACCAACAATAATTACATATTTATAAGATACTTTTGATTTATAATCATATAGTAACTGGGAAAGTGCATGGGAACATAATTTCTAATGCTATAAAATTTACAGTATTAAATAAAGTGAATTTATTTGGATATAATTTCTATATACCTTCTGGACCTTGAAGACATGCCAATTCAACGGAGTAATCCCAATAATCCAATGAACTTATCTGTGTTTGAGGTTCCCAAACAACATCCACACTAGACCCATTCATTCTCATATGCGAATTTCAGTTCTGCGATTCACAAATAAATTTTAAACACTAATTCAACAAAATGAGAGTAAAAATTTTAATTTCATTTTAAGTGAAATATTTTTAATGAAAGAAAATATTTAAATTTTTTTCGCGCATTAAGAATAAAAAATTATTTAATTTGTATTGAAAGTAGACGGGAAAGAAAGAAAATCTGAATAAACACACATACACGAAGAAGGCGAACGAACTTCTGCAATGTTCTGCAAAATGGGAATCGCTGCAAAGTGCTGGAAGGAGGAGAGAAAAGGTGAATTGGTGTCGGTCGAGTAGCTTTATCCCCACTTTGGTCAGATTGTTTCCCACCAGAAGAGTATATTCATTAAAGTGGGCCTGACACTTGGAAAGTTGGAGGGGCTTAAGAAGTACCGAACATAGCATTTTCTGTTACATATTATACATACAATGTATATGTACATATTGCGGTGCATAAATTTTCTACTATAGTTATAGTTACATTTCTAAAATGCCATATATGGGTCATTCTTTGTCAAATATCCCAGTTCAAAAATTTTAATTTCTCGAATTGGCATAAAACTTTGGTTAATTGTTAAGAGTAACAAATCTCTAAAAAATATTCATATTTGAAGAAATTCTATAAAAAGTAGTGGGGGCTGAAGTTTTGAAGTTATAAATCAATTTTCAAATCAGTATTTATATAAAAATTTACGGACTTTTTTTGAAATTTAAATCATTTCATGTATGCTTTTAAAAATTAAAAAATAAGATACTATTTTGAAAAGGGATTATAAAACTTCCCTTAACATTGAAAGCTTAAAAATTATTAATTCAGAGACGCCTTATAGAATGTAACAATTAAAATCTGTAAAGATTTGAAAATAACAGAGTATAACTTAAAACTTCAACCCCCACTTCTTCTAGGACTTCATTTATGGTATGTATATAGTAAATAATGTTTCATAGTGAGTGGCAAACACTTGCGTCTTTACTCTTCAATCCTCTCATGTTAAAAATAAAACCTTTTCCCCATACAGCTTCTGCACATTGCTCCCACCATAATCCACATTCCTTTCAACCTTTTTTTACTTTTTATTTTTCTCACTTCACTTCGTTCTCGATCATTTCACTACTTCCTTTCATAAAAGGAGTGTATCTATAGTACATACACTACGGACAGTGACTATAGGACTGTATTACTGTAGAAGATAATTGAGATCATTAATGAAAATTTTCTGTTAGTAAAGTATAATTTACTTTTTTTGATATGAAATCATTTTTCGTTCTTTTTTTGCGGTAACAAAGGAATAGAAAAAGTGCAAAATATTGCTTTTTAATAGGCAAATTTTCCAATTTCAAAAAATCTAATATGAAGATTAAAAAAGATGATAAAAAAGTTAAAAATGTACTATTTTAATTATCAATATATTATAATAATACACTTACAAAAACATTTATTATACTAAGATTTTTAAAGTAGTTACATGCACTACAACACACGGAGAGACCGCCGGTTGGAAAAATTACTAAAAAGATTTACAAGTAGCGGAAATAAGGTTACTTTGTCATACAGCATACTTAATAAAACTGTAGACTATAGTAATTTCTATTCCAATTTGTGTACAATTTTACTATAGTCTACAGGTTTTATTAAGTATGCTGCTAGTAGAATTTTCGATTTCCTACAGCAATATTTGACAATGTAACCTTATTTCCGCTACTTGTAAATTTTTTTAGTAATTTTTCCAACTGACGGTCTCTCCGTGCAGTAATTAATTCGTAATTATTTTTAGTTGTATCATAACTAAATGACAAAATAATTAGTATGTACTTTAGAAAATGTCTACCTATAAGATCATCATCATCATCTAATCTCTTTGATCTTAGATGTTTTTACAAATATTAACAGATTAAAATTTTTTTTAACAATACATATATTTAATCTGAAGCTTTTATAGGAATAGGAATATAATTACTTTTAAAACGAGTGATTCATATCATAATTTAGTTCACATTTAAAGAACAATTTCAATGCAAAGATCTCGCAAACTGTTTATACCAAAACGATATTTTTTAAAACTATATGTGAAATAAAGTTAGACTTTTTCTTTAACCTACTAATATTGTTTTTTTTAACAAATTATCTTCAATTTTCAATCTGTTACCAAAATAAAAAAAATACATTTTAGTAATGATTTTAGGCCAGTTTTTCTTTTACCACAAATAAAAAGTTTATTAAATTAACAACGTTTCGGTAACAGCCATCACCCTTATCAATTTTACATAAATAAGTTGCTAAAAATATAATAACAGATTTTACAATTAGTAATACAGTACAAAAATTATTTAATTTGTTTCATATAAAATTTTAAAAAAAGCTGTAATCACATTCAAAAATTGTGAATAAATTATTTTTTTCTTTCCTTTTGTTAGGGTTCCGTACTCGGTTCGGAACCCTATTAATATCGGTTTTTTTGAAATCGTGTACCCCCCCCCTAGCGGCCACACAAATTTATCTGGAGGGCTGACAATTAGTACACATATGTATTTTCGCGTGTAGATTACAGGAAAATTATAGCGAACTTGATTGGAATTGATTAACATAGCGTTGTCAAGGAAAAACCATGAATTTTTACGAAAAATGCCTAAAAATGACTATGTACCCCCCCCCTAGCGGCCACATCTTTTGACATAAAGAGCTCAAATTTGACACACTTACGTATTTTTACGTGAAAATTACAGGAAAATTATAGCGAACTTGATTCGGATCAATTTACATAGCGTTGTCAAGGAAAAATCAAATATTTCGAAAAAAATTATTTATTCTCCCTAGCGCACACAATATTCAACCCAGACAATTCATATTTAGTATACAAATGTATTTTTACGGGAAAAATACAGGGGAAAAAAAGCGGTCACGATTAGAGTTGATGATTAACTTTTTATCAAGTTTTTCAAGAAAAAATGACAATTTTAGGAAAAAAATGTATTTTTCCACCAAAAACGAACAAAATTTTATTTAAAGGAAATTAAATTTATATATTTTAACGTATTTTTTTGTGTAGATTACAAAAAAAATATAGCGAACTTGATTGGAATTGATTAACATAGCGTTGTCAAGGAAAAACCATGAATTTTTACGAAAAATACCTAAAAATGACTATGTACCCCCCCCCTAGCGGCCACATCTTTTGACATAAAGAGCTCAAATTTGACACACTTACGTATTTTTACGTGAAAATTACAGGAAAATTATAGCGAACTTGATTCGGATTAATTTACATAGCGTTGTCAAGGAAAAATCAAAAATTTCGAAAAAAATGATTTATTCTCCCCAGCGCACACAATATTCAATCCAGACTGTTCATACTTGCTGTAAAACTGTATTTTTGCGTGAAAAATACAGGGATAAAATGTAAGCACGATTGGAGTTGATGATCAATTTTTATCAAATTTTTGAAGAAAAATGATAAATTTAAGAAAAAAATGTATTTTTCCGCAAAAAAGTTGATCTAAAGTGATTCAAATTTATATATTTTTACGTATTTTTACGTGTAGATTACAAAAAAAATATAGCGAGGATGATTGGAGTTGATTTTTCTGGGGCTGTCAAGAAAAAACTGATAATTTTAGAAAAAATCATAAATTTTCTCCCAATAAAGGAAAAAATTTTTTCTAAAGGGCTTCAAATTTACTATTTTTACGTATTTTTATGTGTAGATTATAGAAATAATTTAATAAACATGATTGAGTTTATTTCTTCAGTCGTTACAACTCTAAAACAAATAAAATCGGACAAGTGCGAGTTACACTCGCACTGAAATCGAGGGTTCCGTACTCGAAGCGAACTTATTTGGTATAAAAACAAATGTTTAAAAAATATGTGTTGTATGACAACTAATATAAGTGATACAAAAAGGAACAATTTTGTAAAATTCAAGAAAATTGTTCCTCTTCGTATCACTTATATTAGTTGTCATACAACACATATTTTTTAAACATTTGTTTTTATACCAAATAAGTTCGCTTCGAGTACGGAACCCTCGATTTCAGTGCGAGTGTA